AAAAGCTTGAAGGACTTGATTAGTTGGATAAGGTGTGTTTAATTAGAGTTTAGTCAAAACTCTGCAGGGCTCCGTCCCTCCAGGAATTGAGTTTTAGGCCATGTCCACAAGTACACAGGTATTTTTATAAACAGATATATTTTTCCTTCTTCCGTTTAAAAAAAAATCTGCGTCCACATGAAAACGCAAACGCATGCTATGAAGCACTGTCAAGAGCATACCAAACCAACAGGTGACGATATAATCTCAACTGTAAAGTCATGTTTGCCAATCAGAAGCCTGAAAAAGTCTCCAGTTGGTGGAGATAACAGCGCAGGCGCCGACTCCCGTCAAAAACTCCGGTTTCGCTGTCTACACGATAACACTGCAACTGGAATTTTTGAAAATCTTCACCCTGGCAGGCGTTTTCAAAAATTTATGATTTCAGTGAACTGGTGCTGCTTTTGCGTGTGGACGAACGGCCTAACTGCGTAGAAAAAGCTGCGGTTTTAAAAATAACCGCGTTCGTGTGGACAGGGCCTGACACGCCTGATATAGAACAATATAGTATATTATATAGCTACAAATATACTAATCAAACTATAATAACAGAAATTGTATTTGCCTCATCTGATGACATGATGCCGGTTAATTGCAGAGCTGGTGCAAATATATTCACGTCGCAGATGCTTTCTTAACTGCTGTTTTCTCACCGCTGTCATTTGTTGTGTTTATTTTGTTATTGAGAGGAGAGAGGAAAGCGTGCAGCAGCAGGCCAGCAGCACATATTTACATATTCATCTAAACACCACATGCAGCGTGGATGGCGTTGTATTACTTGTAGCCAAGCAAAATAAGAAAGTGCAACAGCTTTGCGTATAGGCCTATAGGTGTACGTTTGATCTCTTGTACTTTACATGTGCATGAGTATGATAAATAAGTTGCTGGCTGCAGTTCACTTAACGGCCACACCGGGTCGCTAATAAGAAGGGTTTCTAAAATCTGTATAGTCCCTTTAAATAAATTCCAAGTAGGACTTATAGGAATAGTTGTATAAATAGTTGTAAAAGAATGTATGCTGTGGGTGTGTGTTTTATTATATTATTTTTTATATTTTAGCTGTTTTTATATGTTTTGTTGATCATGAATGATGCACTGATTGGATGGCACTTTAATTTTGTTGTACATGTTACAATGACAATAAATATTTTAATTGAATTGAATTGAATAGTTCACCCAAAAATGGAAATTTGCTAGAAATTTACTAGCAAGGCCATCCAAGATGTAAATGAATTTGTTTCTTCATTAAGACAAGTTTGCAGAATTTAATATTAGGCTACATCACTTGCTCACCAGTGGATTCTCGACAGTGAAAGATTGCCGTCACAATGTCTAAAACAGCTGATAAAAACACAATACACAAAAACAATGATAAAAAATCACAATGATCCCCAAGTAATATACACGACTCCAGTCTATCCAGTCCTCTATCCATAATATTGCTTTCTCAGTGAAAAAGTCACCTGGTCTGAACCAGGAGAGAAATATGCACAGATCAAGCACTGTTCACAAGTGAAAACAGTCCAAAACAGTTCTAATAAATATGTTGATGGCTTTTGATGTGATGCTAAATGCTAAAGTTTTTCAAATCTGTTCCGTTGTAAAAACAAACTCAAGGATGAGTACATTTTCAGCAAAATTTTACTTTTAGGTGAAACTATTCCTTTAAACCAAAGCACTATTCTCTGAGACTGTTAATGGGACTGCATGATTTATTATTTTTATTTTATTAAAGTTAAAATTATACATTTCCAGACACTTTTTATGCTTACTTCTGATTATCTGCATTGACTATTTACATTGCTGCTGCTCTTTGAACTGAAATGACCTGCGTATTTACAAAAATGTCATGTGCATTACCCACATGAATGCAAAACAACAGCAAAAAAGTCATATATGTGAACTTGCATGTTGTGTAATAAGTGGAATTGCATATTACAAGACTAACATCTTTACTTGACTACAATACATTCCTGTTTTCTCAACTGAAGCTTCTTCCCAAAATCAATTACATTAGTTATTCCACTGTGTTTTCTGTTGCTTCATTGATTCATTATAATTCTGTCTGGTAAGGCACAGTGTGCATTGAATGATGACAAGTATTTGCTCATAATGTTTGATGTTAATTAATACTAAATTTTGAAAATAAATTCAGATTTCACAGTTAACACTTGGGATGTGTGGCCATGCATCATATCCTGAACCATATATGACCATGGCATTTATATGTAATTATTTTCAGACACCGGTTGCTTGTCACATTCAAATTGGTTGTCATAGTAACGACACTAATTTGTGGAGATTCAGTGCATTGAGTTCCACAAATCTGAATGCATTATTTGTAAATTGACTGTTAAGATAAACATTTTGCACAGTTTAGTATCTGTAATATCATTGTGTTGCCACTAGATGCCTGTATAGCCCTATGTAACTATTCCTAGTGGCTAAGACATTGCACATAATTTACACATAAATCACACATAAATTAATTTTATTACATTTTGATTTGGATACTATATACTATACTACTACATATTGTTTAGATATTATCAATGGCTACTTTTTTGTCTTTATCTGTTTTTTGTAAAAAAATGTTGTTGTTGTTTCTTGAAAAATTGATTTAAAGTGTCAGTTATTGCATTATTATTTCAGTCAAACCTATAAAACCCCTTTGTTACCCCAAACTACATATAAAAGCTTTATCAGTGGCATAAAAGTAACCAATGCAGCTACTTAATCATTTGCTACTCGTTAACGCGTTAACAACGTGACGCCCTCTGCCCTCTATGACGCTGCTCCCATTAAGCGCTGTTTGAAGTGAATGAATTGATTCAGCATTTCGACACCTCCGCGCATGACAAAAAAAAGTGTTACTGACAGAGCCCACTGATCTAATTGAGCACTCCAAATGCAAACTTTGCATGCAACAATCAGGCAGCAATTGACAGCACTCTGATCTAGTGGCATACAGGCACGGTCAGATTGACAGTACTCTAGCCCAATAATGTTGGGGGATCCAGTGGGGGCGGCCGTCATATTTCAGGGTGACCGTGCTACTCTTTATCACAACCCTGCTAAAAGTGCCAGTACGTGCGCTCATTGGCACCCCTTCAGCTGGTGGCGCCCTAGAAACGGCCCTGCATGGCCTAAATTGGATTTGTAAAGATCACACTTTTTCGCACAACTCAAGATCAGTGAAACATGTAGGCAAAAAAAAATAAAAAATTTGAAAGAAGTCTCTTATGATCAACATGTGTGTGTGTGTGTTATATTGTGTGTTGCTGTTATATCTGACCCCATGGCAAGCAGAGGGCATACAGTATATCTGCTCAAACAAAGCCTGCTAGTCAAGCTTACATAGGACTGACAAATGTCCCAGGGCTCCCAACATCAGTATCCAAATGTGGATCAACTACGGCAGGCTCGTGTCCTCCATCATGAACTGCTGAGACTGAGCGTTGACCTGTGCTTTAGCAGGAATGACTAAGGTGACCTGAAGCACCTCAAAAGCATCGCGTGCTCTGACACAGCCCTGCCATGGTAATTGACTCCTGGACTGGAGCGGACAAGTTCCTCTGTTGCTGACAAAGAATATTCTGACAAAGGAGGTGAATGAGGGACATGGACCTTTGGCAAATAGAGGTTTAAAACGCTTTACTGCAAACCATCCTTGAGCATATTGGGTTGAAACTACTGCAGATATATAGCGACATCTTGAGATCAAACTGAGAAGTGCTGTGATGTGAGCTGCCAGCACATTTATCCCAGTGAAACCTGTAGAAGTATTTGGCCTATTATGTAACGATTTTGCATTTATGCATATATATTCTTCTTATTTAGCCTATTAAAAAGGGTAAAGTATGCCACCATTTAGTCACCCTGTAATTCCAAGCCTGTATAACCTTTTCGAAATATTTCTGATTTTCGAAACCACGTGATTCAACCTTTATGTGTTCAGCTCAAGTTTTTTGTCACAATGCCTTACCCACAGCTTCATGTTTCCAACCATACTGACATGTTTGAGTATCAACGCAGAAACAATGAAACACAATAGGCCTAACCGACTTTTGTTGCTGCTGCTGCCCATTTCAATTATTATTATTATTAGTAGTAGTAGTAGTAGTATTCCAGATATGGTCCGCAGATAATTTGACTCAATGTGGTGACTAAGAAAAAAAAATGTAAATAGCAGCCTACATCCAAGACACAATGGACTTCAAAATGGAAAAATTCCTATGACTATATCATTGTACCTTTTATATAATGTAATAAAGAAATTAATACTTTTATTCAACAATGATTAAGACGTTTAATGTCTTTGGTTACAAAATATTTATAAATGCTCTTCTTTTAATGTTCTATTCATCAAAGAATTCTGGGGAAAAAATGAAAGTTTCCACAAAAATATTAACTGTTTTCAAGGTGAATAGTAATAAGAAATGTTTCTTGGCACCAAATAGAAAGAAAGAAATAATATTTTAAATCTTTTAATAGGCCTATTGATTTTGAAGGTTATGTCTATTAATTTATTCTTTATTCTGATTATATAGTAGTAACAATTGATAAAAAAAAAAAAAAAAACAATAGGCACACTTCCTCATAAATGATAGACACGAGTGTTTCAAATAGACTACACCTACAGGTCTCACCTTATGAGAATTACTAAATCCTGCCGTGACACGTAAGAGGCGCCCGTGTTCTCAACCACACTTAACACAGAGAGAAACTTTATAGTCTTGGGAAAACATAAACCACGGATAATCCACCATGGCACTTTAACATTCTAATTGAACGCCTGACACCATATTTTGATTTCGAAATAAAGATGTCATGTATTATTTACAAAAAAAGTATCGCGCACGCAACCACTTGTGTAATAGGCAGCGTAATATACAGGAGATCTGCAGTAGAGGACTCGCCTTCTTCAACGAGCTGATTGGCTGGAGGACCTGTCAATCTACAGTGGCTTTCTCGCCAGCACTAGCAAACTCGGTTGCGGTATGAAGTTTCTAAAATGACACTTGGGGATATTTTTTTGTCAGTACGATGTAGCTGCTTTTGTCTAGAAAGGTGAGTATTATTCAGATTCAGATCAATAACTGGGAAAGTTATGAAAAAAATCGTAGGTTTTTTTTACTGAGCTGATAGTATAAAATGACCTTAACGTTACGAGTGTCGGCTAAATTATAATTGTTTACCGTACACATACTCCATTTTCATTCTTAACAAATGTAAGGTATATTTTGTTGAGTTTTGCCTTATGTTTTGTCCAGTTTGGTTGTGCAGATCTTTTGAGACATTTCACCTAACGGTGTTCTGGGCTGATCCGCTGTTGTTTCAGCTACAGACAATCACTTTCCAGCTCTGATGTTTTCTGAGGTAGTAAGTCTCCACAGTGTCACAGTGTCACCAGTAGATGTATACTAATGAACAATGATGCATGGACGGTTGCGTGTTGTTTACATTCTGCAGTATGTTTCTTACTGTAGTTACAAAGTCTATTACAATAAAGTTGATATCTGCCTGCTATTAGACTGTAATCTGCTGACTGCAGATTAGAATGCTGTTTCCCTGCAAGAGTTATTCAAGCAGTGTGCTGGAGTTTTTTTTTTTTTTGTAATTATGGGCACTTTTGATCCTGTAAAAACTAAATTATTTTAAAAGACAAGTTTCACACCCTAAATCAGTTATTTATTTTGGTTATCAATTTCTAACAATGTATATTATGCAGCACAGGAGAACATGTTTTCTGACAGTCATGAACATTCCCACAATGTAATTTTCAATAAATCTTAAATTGTGTTTAATAGCATTTTTATTGGAAATAATAACACATTTTAAACATTGATAAAATGCAGCGCCTTTATCTTTATAAGGCTAATTTTATAGCTAGCATTCTATGTATCATAAATATACACAATTAAATCATATTTTTACATAATTTGACATCATTACTGCTTGATTGCAAATGGTGAAAGTATGAGGGGGGTCACTCCTCAACCACCACCAGTGTGCAGCATCCTCCTGGATGATGCGACGGCAGCCACATTGCAATGGTGCCAGTGCGCTCACCACACACCAGCTATATAGGTGGAGAGGAGAGATAGAGCCAATTCAGTAGAAGGGGATTATTAATAGGAGGCCATGACTGACCAGGGCCAGTGGAGGGAATTTGGCCAAGACACCTGAGATACACCCCTACTCTTTTACGAGAAGTGCCATGGGATTTTTAGTTTATAATTTAGTTTACAATTTAGTTTTTTAGTTTATTATTTATTTACAATATAAACCAACTCCTAAATAATAAAAATGCTCAAAGTTGATGAATACTACCATTCAAAAGTTTAGGGATTTTATTATTATTATCATTATTATTATTATTATTATTATTATTATTATTTTATTTAAATATTTTATAAATCTTTCTTTTATGCTGCATTTTTTTTCTTATAAAAAACAGTAATACTGTGAAACATTACAGTTTTATTGTTATAACTGTTACACTAATTTCATATATTTTATTTTTGTAATTTCTGTTATGGCAAAGCTGATTTTTTTTTTAGCAGCCATTACTCCAGTCTTCAGTGTCACATGATCCTTCAGTAACCATTCTAATATGATGAAACATTTTTTTTTTTTGTTAATCATGATAATTTTTTTTTGATGAATAGAAAGTTCAAAAGAACAGCATTTGAAATAGCAATGTTTTGTGACATTGTAAATTACTGTCACATTTTAATTAATCTTTGCTGAATAAAAGTTTTAATTCATTTAAATGCAAAAAATAAAAATTACTGACCCCCAAACTTTTGAACATTAGTGTTCAACTGAACTGGCCTTACGACTTATTCTTCTAGATATTGGTCTAGTTGCAGTGATGAGGCGAGGAGATCCTCTCCCTCGAGCCTTTCAGGCTCCAGTGGATGTACATGCCAGTGCGGATGGCCAAGTGTATATGTTCGGACACAGACAAGAAGAACCAGAAGTGTCATCTGAGGATGAGGAACTCAATGTCATGGAGCTCCGGCCGCGGAGCAGAGAGTCGTCCTCACAGGAGAGAGAAAAAGTGGGAGAAATGCTCTTGTTGAAACGGGACATCTCACATGAGGACAATCTCAACAAACTGGCCCTTCAATATGGATGCAAGGTATCTTGTTTGATTGCGTAGATCATTCTCATTTAGGCCCTTAAAGGAATAGTTCACCCAAAAGTGTAAATTTTATGCAAATGTTTTCACCCTCATGCCATCCAAGATATAGATGAGTTTGTTTATTCATCGGAACAGATTTGGAGAAATTTAGCATAACATCATTTGCTTACCAATGTATCCTTTGCAGAGAATGGGTGCCATTAGAAAGAGAGTCCAAACAGCTGATGAAAACATCAGTAATCCACAAGTAGTTGACACGACTCCAGTCCATCAATTAATGTCTTGTGAAGTGAAAAGCCATCATTAAGGTGTTTTTAACTTCAAACCATTTCTTCCGGCTAACATACAAGTCCTCCATAATATTACTTTCTCCAGTGAAAAAAATCATCTTGTCTGAATCAGGAGAGAAATATGCAAACAAAATAAATCAAGCACTGTTTACAAGCAAAAACCGTTCATAACAGTTATAAACAAATATATCAGTGGATTTAGACTTGAAAGCACTACAGGGGATGGACTTTTCAGTGGGGGAAATGTTATTATGGATTATAGACTCATATTTTGGCTAGAAATATATATGGTGCTGTTGGGCCAGTTGTGGACTAATGGTTAGAGAGTCGGACTTGTAACCTGAAGGTCACAGGTTTGATTCTCAGTCCTGGCAGGAACCTAAAATAAAACAAACGTTAACCTTCCATACATATGACTGAAGTGCCCTTGAGCAAGGCAAACCCCAATTGCTCCCCGGGCGCATTGTGTGTTCACTTCTCACTGCTGTGTGTGTGTGTGCGCACTTGGATGGGTTAAATGCAGAACACAAATTCTGAGTATGGGACACCATACCTGGCTACTCGTCATGTCTGTGAAACTTGTGGATTATTGTTATGTTTTTATTAGCAGTTTGAACTCTTATTCTGATGGCACCCATTCACTGCAGAATGATGTAATGCAAAATGTATCCAAATATGTCCCGATGAAGAAACAAACTCATCTACATCTTGGATGGCCTGAGGATGAGTACACTTGCTGCAAATTTTCATTTTTGGGGTGAACTTTTCCTTTAAAAATAATAATTTTCTATGACTTCCAGGTGGCTGACATAAAAAGGGTGAACAACCTTTTTCAAGAGCAGGACATGTATGCACTGAAGTCAATCAAAATCCCTGTTAAGAAGCATGGCTTGCTAACCGAGGCCAACTCTGAGCTCAGGAACCCCCAGCAAAGACCCTACAATGATGAAGCATCATCAAACAGTGCTGAAGCAAACGTCTCGGGAAGACCTCAGGTGCAGGAGTACACCAATTACCTAAAAGAGGTGGACAGTGACATTGAGCGTCTGATCCAAAGCACAGACCCCTCAGAAGAGGTATTTTCCAGTGGTTCCAGGGTATCCAAACGATGGGGGTGGAGAAGCCAGCGTTTGCGCAGCTATGGTGCAGACTGGGGAATCCAGTGGTGGAACGCTGTAATTGCAATGTTACTCATTGGCATTGTCCTGCCAGTATTCTATGTGGTATATTTTAAAACTCAAGATAATGGAGGATCAGTAGTGGACAATATAGTGGGCAACATCACGGGCAACTTCAATACCTCAAAGAGTACGGGGTGAAGGTCAGCATGGGAATATTAGGTAACATTTGGGTTCAAAAGACTTGGAGTATGACACACCCAATAAAAAAAACTGTCTCAGGTTACCCATGTAACCATGGTTCCCTGAGAAGGGGAACGAGACACTGCATCCCCTAGAGGACACTTTGGGGAACGCCCTCAGCGTGACCGGTGTCTGAAGTGCATGTGGAAACACGACAATGAACTTGTCATTGGCCTATGACATGTTACTGGTGCGACCAAGTGTATAAAAGGGCACCTGTAGCACACGTCATCAGCTTCTTGTCTGAAGGAGACGTGCACAGGAATGCCTGAAGCATGGCAAGGGGACGCAGTGTCTCGTTCCCCTTCTCAGGGAACCATGGTTACATGGGTAACCTGAGACGTTCCCTATCGAATGGGAACTCGCACTGCGTCCCCTAGAGGACACTTTGGGGAACGAAAACCCACGCCACCATGCTGAAGGAATGAGTGCCTTATCGGCGGGCATAAGCCAGGAACTCTAAGAAGTCCTTATCCCCAGAAACACACCAGCAACTGCCAACACACTGTAAGGGTCAGAGTTGACGCGGGCCAGTCACAGTCACCCATCAACGTACAGTTTTCGTTTCACAAAAAGAAGCCTTATTGCACAACAGTGCTAGGAATTGGGAACGCGAGAGGCGATACTACCCCTATTCCCATACGTTAGTATCTTGAGGGTCACAGCAGGAGTGGGACTCAAGTCGCGGAATAGCCCACCATCTCCGCATACCTCTCATCTGTGAGTGCAAAACAGAGGGAACCCCCCCGCGCTAACATGGGAACGCGAGAAGCGGTGCTGCCCATCCACTCGAAACTGTCTTGATATTGTGAGGATCACAGCCAAAGAGGTGGGACGCGAGCCGCAGAATAGCCCACCATCTCCGCGCACTTCTCACATCTATGCACACAAACGGAGGGAAACCCCTTGTGCTAACCACTGCAGGTCATACGGAGTGGGAACGCGAGAAGCGATACAGCCCATCTACTCCAACCGTTATAATATTGTGAGGATCATAGCCGAGGAACTGGGATGCAAGCCACGGAATAGCCCACCATCTCTACGTACTTCTCACATCTGTGCACAAAAACGAAGGGAAAACCCTCCCTGCGCTATCACACAGTAAATTATAAGAAGTGGGAACGCAAGAAGCGATACTGCCCATCTACTTCAAACCATATAATACTGTGAGGATTACAGCCATGGAAGTGGGACGCGAGCCGTGGAATAGCCCACCCTTCTTGCATACTGTATATCTCACAGTGTTAAGCGCAATACAGAAGGGAAGTGCCCTGCCTTATTGCGCAACAGATTAAGAAGTGGGAATGCAAGCTGCAATACTGTCCATCTTCTCAACACATCTCACAGTCTTTTGCAGTACGGAGGCAACCTGCCTCATTCCGTTTACTTGAAAATAAGGAGTGGGAAGCAAGAAAAGATTCTTCCCAACTTTCTAAACCCATAACACAATTTGTATAACAGAGAAAATAGCTGAAGGAGTGGGACGCGATTCGCGGAATAGCCCACGTTCCTCAACACATCTCACAACCTAACACCGATACAACGGGAAAGCCGCCGTTGTACTGGGAAAACTACGAATTGAAATTAGGGACTGATCCCTACTACATGACAAAATTGTAGTAGAAGAAAGAATATGTTTCAAGTTGCAAATGACAACATAAAGTTGCAAAAATTAAATCAAAATTCAACTGCGGCAGTAAGGGCCTTTATTTAAAGGAGTCATATGATGTTGCTAAAAAGAACATTATTTTGTGTATTTTGGTGTAATGAAATGTGTTTTTAATGCGGTTTAAGGTTAAAAAAACACATTATTTTCCACATACTGTACATTATTGTTTCTCCTCTATGCCCCGCCTTTCTGAAACGTGTCGATTTTTACAAAGCTCATCGGTCTGAAAAGCAAGATGTGCTGTGATTGGCCAGCTATCCCGCGCGACCTTGAGTGAGCAGAGGCCGGGGCTACAGTGAGGAACGGCCGGAGGGCTAGAGTGAGTAGAAGCGGCGGGCTTGAGAACGGAATCGCATCATATGACCCCTTTAACAAAAGCTAACAGTAAATCAAATCAAAGCCTTGGACTCAGGGCTTCAGCTTGCCTTTCTTGGCTTAGATAATTTCCCTGAGGTCCTGTATCTGCCTTGAGCGAGGTCGCTGCCCAGCGCCCCGACTCCTCGGAAGCGGGGCTCTCGCAGCTACGCTCACCTTCTGACTCTGCTTCAGGTGGTTGACAGAAAGGACAGCGAGAATAAATACCATATCCCTCTCTGCCCACAGAGGGATATAGTGCTCAAACGCCGCTGACTTAACCTTCGCCTCCCTGAACTTACGGACTACTGTCTCAACAGCAGCTCCGAAAAGCCCGGCAGGCGAAACCGGGGCATCAAGGAGAAAATACCTGTCCTTCTCCTTTAGCCCCAACATGTTAAGCCATAAATGCCTCTCCGTGACAATGAGTGCCGCAAGAGAGCGGCTGTTGGCGCGAGCCATCACATGAGCGGCAGAGCTCCTCGATTTCAGCAGGAGCAACGCCCCCCGCCGCATCAGCGTCCTTTAGAAGATCCGCCTGATAAGCCTGCAATACAGAGATAGTATGCAGGGTACTGCCCGCCTGCCCAGTCGCCGCGTATGCTTTGCCCACGAGCCTAGATGTAAACTGGCATGGCTTCGAAGGCAAGGTAGGAGCCCTCCACGAAGATGCCTGGGGAGCAGCGATATAACCTGCAAGGGATTCCTCCATCTGAGGCATCTTTGTGTACCCGCAGTCTTCCAACCTCTTCACATTAGCGTAGTTTGACTTGTTAGGGGGAAGGATGCGGGCAGAAAAAGGATTCCTCCATGACCTCAACAGCTCGCTGTGAAGCTCAGGTAGGAATGGAAGGCTCGGAAGGGCAGAGCGTTTATGACCTGCTAGGAAGCGCTCATCCAGAAGGCTACTAGACACGCGTTCCTGCATCTCCGCCGACCAGTCCAGGATTAGCCTGGCGTTGGCGCGGGTCATGACGTCCAAGAGTTCCCCATACGCGGGTGACGAGGAGGAGGCAGTTTGTGATGTAGCCTCTGCCTCAACTCCTGTCACGTCTATCTCCTCGGAGCTAGACCGGCCGAGTAACATGCTCTCTGCTGGATCGGAAGAAACCGGAGACCGGGCTTCCAGATCCGGTTCAAGAGCAACAGAGCTGGCGACCGAGGATTGGGATAGGGAGAGACGCGTCCCTAACTCATCGGCTAGATCTAACTGCGACCCCCATGAGTGCAGATGGCGCTCTGCCTCGGCAGCAGCGGGTCCAGCACCACGAGGTGCAGACGCTTGGCTTCCGTCCTCTGTAAACAGAGCTAAACGAGAGTGCAGCTGTTTCACTGTGAAACGATCACAGTGGGCACAGCTGGCTCCCTCGAGAGCCGACCGTGCATGCTGTGCCCCCAGACACACCACACATAGCTCATGAGAATCGCTAGGTGTGATGTACCTTTCACACGGTGGGACACATCTTTTAAACTGCGCTCACTCATGCTTTACCTTTCTTCTTTTCTTTTTTTTTGTCACACAAGCACACACAAACAAACGGCTGAAGACAAGAAACTGATGACGTGTGCTACAGGTGCCCTTTTATACTCTTGGTCGCACCAGTAACACGTCATAGGCCAATGACAAATTCATTGTCGTGTTTCCACATGCACTTCAGACACCAGTCACGCTGAGGGCATTCCCCAAAGTGTCCTCTAGGGGACGCAGTGCGAGTTCCCATTCAATAGGGAACCCACACTATTCAAAATGTGTGTTCCACAGAAAAAGAAAGTCATATAAATATGGAGAAACATGAGGGTGGGTAAATGATAACATAAGTTTTTGGGTGAACTATCATTTTAATTTAATTTGCATAGTGAAGGTACATAACGAGACAATTTAACAAATGAGATTATGAGTTTGCATTACAAACTGAGTGTTGCATCTGCTTATACTCCACACTCAGACTGCTGAAACTGTTGTTATTGGTTTCATGGGTGCTATTATTTAACTGAATTATGAAATGGTTATAACAATTTTTCTTTGTGGAGAAAAAAAGTCATCATGAAACAGCCTTTCTCATAAAATTGATCATATGTGTTGTGGTCCTGTCTTTGTATATCAATGCTTGGTGAAATTAATGCAATTTTACAGAAAAATGCAAAGAAGGAAACAAAGAAAAAAAAATCAAAAGGTTTGATGTTTTGCAACTTTATACCTGTTTGTCTGAATGGTATTTTGTGTTAACTCACATTTCTATCCCTTTATTTTGTTTTGATTTTGCCAGAACTACTACCAAATAGTTGTTTCAATGTGCTAGCAGTGCCAAATTAGATTAATAGACATATTTCACAGGAAGTGCTAAACTCATGTGCAGATGGACACATTCTGACCTTTGGATATTAAAAGATATCTTTTGAGTTCTAGTACTGTACTAGTACTTTTTTTCTTACATATGTGTATTGCATTGGGCTGGCCAGTGAGTGAATACCTTAAAACTCCTTTTCATACAAAAAGAATAGGGAAAAATGTATGGTATTGGGTTCTAATGGTCTGTAATTCAACAGTGCAGCTCTTCAGTAATTGACCAATAAAAACAATTTAAAAGGGTTTCTGCTTTCTGAGTAATGTCCTATGTAGTTGCTCAGGGTCAGGGTTGTAAACAGAGGAAAACCTGGACCCATGTTGATTTTTAATCATTATTCTCTCACTATCACTCTATGAAAAGGCCACATATAGGAACTGTGTAATCAAAGCAGCCTTTAATGTTTCATGTAAAGTATCTTTTGGATTTTGTATGTTTAAAGTCTATATAATAGCAAACTCTACAAACCCAATATACCCCTTTGTTTCAGCTTTTCTGATATTTCTTATCATCGACACCATCTGGCAAAAAACACTAATGTTGGTGAATTTAGGAAAAGCAGTACAAAGGGCTAATGTAAGTACCATTATTTGCAGAGTTATGACTTTGACCAGTAGGGGTACATATTTACATTTTATTCTGTGGATAATAATGTTGAAGTGAAACAAGAAGTTTTATGAGAGGAATCACAGACAGTTTTTTGTAACAGGTTGGATTCATTTTAGAGCATGACACATTCATTTCTATGGTATTCGTAAATGGTGACGGACTGTAGTAAAACTCTCAACATGATCAGTCAATCAAATACTGTATGTTAATATGAGAATGCACAATACGAACGCTAACAAGCATTGAATCTGCTAACAAGCGCAATATTTGTTTTTTAGTAATTTTTTTTCAACTTGAAGTTTTACTTATTTTATAGGAACTCGCTTTCAAACAAACTTTGTCATTTTTAGAACTTACCTAAAAGGGAATACCAAGAAATTGTCTCTGCCCACAAACTTGTAGCCGATTTTGCGTCCTATACCATGCATTTCCAATCTTTTATGCACTCCGAATCCAAGTCTTCATTGTCCTATTTTTTATTATTATTATTATTACTATTTTTCTTTCAGTTTTAGTTATTGTAGTTATTATAGTACTTCAAGTAAACTAAATGAAAAAGAGAAATGTTGCTTTGGCAACTAGCTGAAATAAAACATGTTCCAGTTAGCAATTGTTTTATTTTTAAGTAACGAACATGTACATTTTTTATGATTTTAATTGTAGTTAACTATAATAATCATTTGTTTGTTTGTTTTTGGTCTAGAGCAATTTCTTGCTCAAGAAATTCATATAAATAGAAGACTTCAAACAGGTGATATCAAATATGAAATAAATACTAAAAATATTGGATTCATATTTTAATTTGTTTAAATGTATAATGTCCATAGTGAAACGGTCAACATGGGTTTGAATTTATTGAGTTAAAAATCTTTAGAGAACTTTAAAGAGAAAATAAAAAAGGTATTGTTAGCGTTTGTTCAACAGCTGCTTAGGCTCAGTCCCATTTGATATAGCAACCTGAAAGCTTCGTCTCACAGACTCAGCTCACAGAAACATGCGCTGCTGTGATCCTGCTCCAGGCCCCACAGCTTTGGCCCCGTGCCTTCCCTCCGTCTGTGTCTCAGCGAGAGGACCACCCCTTTCTTTGTCTGCAAACCCAAACCGCAGTTATTATGCAAACCTTAACACTCCCAGAGCAAGTTCTGATGTGATCTGTGTGATAATGCTTTTTGCTTTCTGCATGATCCAAGATTTAGGAACATTATCTCAAATTTTGAATGTTGGTAAGACAGTACACAGACAAACTTGTTAGCACAGATTGGAAAGACTGAGCACCTCCCTTAGTGTGTATCCAGAGGGTTTTGCAAACTATAAATCTATTAAAAACATGAACACACCTTTAAAAAAAAAAGGTAATTTACTGGCATCGATGGTTTCAGGAAGAACCTTTAACATCCATGGAATCTTTCCACACTCTTAAAAACAGAGGTTCTTAATTTGCATTGATGGCTTTTTGAAGAACCTTTATCATCCATGGGAACCTTCCTTTGCACAAAAGGGTCTTTATAGTGGAAAAAGCTTTAGATTATTATAATGTTCTAGAAGAAAAAAAAGGTTCAGAACAGTTTGCTGAATAGTTCTTTGTGAAATGTAAAATGGTTCTTCTATGGAATTGCTATGAAAACACCTTTTGAAACCATTCTAAATGTCTAGAATATTTGATTATATATATATTCACATCACTATGAGAGGAATCTTGTTTTGAAAGGTCCGAAATGGGAGCAAGTAGCCATTTGTGTGTGTTGTGTGTTTGTAGAGAAGTGCTTTGTTTTCTTAGGCTCAAGC